GTGGTGGGGTGGTGCCTCCGGGGTGGGTGGGTGGGGGGTCACAGAGGAGGGAGCCTGAGAGAGGGCTGCCGCAGAACAAGGCAGGCCCTGAAGGAGACAGAAGCCGCCGGACCTCCACTCTGCCCTTGGCAGGTAGACGCCTCTCCCCCTGCACCTCGCCTGGGATTGTGTGTGCGTGGACTGGGCCGCTGGACTCCGCCTCTCTGTCTTTTCCACAATTTCAGGGAAGGGCACCCTGAAGCAGTGCTCCCTCTGAGCTGCGGACTCTCCTTGTGAGCAGAAATTCTGCTTTGTGAGCTCCTGGCATTAAAAGTTGTGAGTGAGGGATTTGCCTGCTGCATGAATCAGTTTGCTCTTCTGGAGCCCTCCTTCCCGAGCTAGGACAAAAAGGTGTGAGCCGGAGGCTAAAAGACTGATCTGGCTCACACTAACTCAACTTAGAGGGAACCCTGCCCCTGAAGGGCCCTTATTTTCTTCAGGTAAGAGGTGGGGGGAGTGAGGAGGCAGAGCTCTCCCCCCCCCCCCCCCGGGCCGGTGTGTCTGCAGCTTTCTGGAAATGAGTCGGGAGTAGTTCTCCACATGCTGGTGTCGGGGTGTGTGGAGGTCTGGCTGTTGCCAGATACACACTAAGAATACAACAAGAGGGCCATGGTGGGGACAGTGGAAAATACTAACACTAAAGCACCGTGTAACAATCACAACCATGTAACCTGAAATCCACTCAGAAATGTGTTATTTCTATTCCAGTGTAATGGTATTTGTGATGTTTTGTACGTTTATTTACATAGTGTTGTGATAGAATACATTAGCATCATAAATACCATTACATTGGAATAGAAATAAACAAAATTTTAAGTGGATTTAAGGTTACGTCATTTACATGGTGCTTTAATGTTAGTATTTTCTGCCAGGCACAGGGGGGCAGGCCTCCGGTCAGCCTCCAAGGGAGCGTGGGGGCAGGCGAACGACGTTTGACCCCCGTTGCCCTGGAGAATATACTTCTCTTCGAGTCTGTCCATAAACAGGGTGGCAAGTTCACAGGTGAATTTGCCTCCCATTGCTGGGCCGGAAATCAGCCAATAGAATTTACCCTGAAATTGGAAGAATTGCAGGAGACGTTCTGTTGGCCAGATAGTGGACGCTGTTGTGGTCTTCTGTGCCTCTCAAGTGGCTCCTTCTCTTACTGATGTGCCAGGTGTGCGTGGGTTGTGATGAGGAAATGCTGGGGGGGGGGGGGAGGAGCTGCTCTACCTCTGGCCTTCTTGTCCTGGGTGCCTCCTCTTCAGAGCCCCCCCCCTTTTTGTTCCCAGGGTTGTCCTGGCCCGAGCCATACCCTGCGGAGCCCAGCCACACGTTGAGGCTGCGTGCTGGATCACAGGCGCTGGATGAGAGAGAGCTGACCGCTCAGCTGCGTAAGGTGAGGCAAACACGGGCACAGACTCAGGGGTCATTTGTGGGGGGACGCGGGGGAACGCCATCCCCCTGGGTGAGGTGCGGGAGGGCGGGGCCTGGAGCTCCCTGCTGGTGCCCGCTGGAGGTTGCCGCCGGCTGTGGGGAGGACACACTTCCGGTGATGTCAGGGTGTGTGGCATATGCTAATGAGTCCCCCTAGCTCTTTTTCTACGAAATGACCCCGGCACAGACTGACCCAGCAGTCCCCACCCCCAGGCATCCCAGAACCAGTTTGGTATCGTGGTTAAGCGGGCGGACTCTAATCTGGGAGAACCGGGTTTGATTCCCCATTCCTCCTCCACTTGCACCTGCTGGATGACCTTGGGCAAGCTGTAGTTCTGACAAGAGCCGTCCTTGAAAAAGAGCAGTTTCTGTCAGAGCTCTCTCAGCCCCACCTCTACCTCACAGGGTGTCTGTCTGTTGTGGGGAGGGGAAGGGAAAGGAGCTTGTCAGCCACTCTGAGACTCCCTTGGGTAGTGAAGGGCCATGGGGGATAAATCTAGTCTCCTTCTTCACCGGGGGGGGGGGGGGGGGGGCTTGGGCAAATGCCGAAGGGGTGGCAGGGGGGGGAGAGCAGGAGGGCCGTGCGCATTCTCAAAAATGGAATTCTGAGCCCAGGGAAACTGGACTTGGTGCGGTGCAAACGTCTGTCCACTTGGCTTACCTTATTCTGCTTCTGATGGGCCTGGTGAGGCCAGGCCTGGCTGTGCCCTGAGCCCATGCCCTTCTGAGATCTTACCAGGCTCTGCGCACACATTTCCCGGCCTTCCTTGAGGACTAGCCACTTGGCTTACTTTGTGTACTGATGACAGCCCCTGTTTGTGAGGATGCCGAGTGCTGTGGGGCCCTCCTGCAGCGCTCATGGCGGCTCCCCCCTCCTCTGTCTCCAGGCAATCGAGTCCCACCTGAAGATCACTCTTGCGGAGGACCTGGGCGAGGCGCTGGCCAATGGGGTGATCCTGTGCCAACTGATCAACCACCTGCGCCCACGGTCGGTGCCCTTTATCCATGTGCCCTCACCGGCTGTGGTGAGCCTCTGGTGTGACGTGGAAGCCTGTTTCGGGGCGGGGAGAAGAAAGCCCAGCTGGAAACGCTGTCCCCAAGTAGATAGAAATCCTGACAGGCCTACCGGGGAGGGGGGGGTGTGGTTCTGCTCCCCGGGACCCCAGGTGGCCTCTGACCATATTCCGATTCTGCCCTCCCCCCAGGCAGGCAACGAGGGAAGGGTGGTGGAAGGGGGGGAGTTTTTCTTCTGCGTGAAATAGATGGGCAGTAGATGAGGGGCTGAGAAGAGCCGGTGTGTCTTCATGCAACCTTGTGGGGTTTCTGCCCCGTGACCTGGCAGCGGGCGGCTGAGAGACCCCTTTGCAGAGGAGGAAGAGACCCCAAGCGCTGGGCTGGGCTGGGCTGGGGGATGCTGGACGGGGCGAGCCTCTGATGCCCCTCCGCTCCTCCTCCTTCCCTCTCTCGGCAGCCAAAGCTGAACGCCATCAAAAGTCGGAAGAACGTGGAGAGCTTCCTGCAGGCCTGCCGCCACCTGGGGGTCCCAGAGGTGAGTGGGGGGGCGGGGCGATTGCATGCCCTGCCAGGGGGCAAGGAGAAGCCTCCGCTTGGCAGTGATTTCAGGGGGGGCCCCTCTCTCACACACACCCTTCAGTCTCCACCCTTCTGTCCCCTGTTGCCGCTCTGTTAACGCGTGTGTGTGTTTGTGTGCGCGCAGTGTTGTCTCATCGTGTGTTCTCTCCACCTGCCACAGGTCTCCCTCTGCTCCGCCTCTGACGTCGTCCGCGGCAACACCCACGGCTTGCTCCGCCTCCTCCTCGCACTGCCGGGCCTCGCTCCGGGGAGGGCGGTGCCTCCTGTGCCTGCCGCCCCCCTGTCGGAGCACCTGCTGGGCTTTGGCTTCTTCCATGTCTCTCTCATGCTGCTGCTGTATCTCGGCTATCGCAAGCTTTGCAGCTTCTGAGGGGGGCGGGGGTGGTCTGGTTC